GACAAAAGAGCGGGCTATTTTATTTTTTTATTTTTATTTTTTTTAAAGATTTTATTTATTTATTTGAGACAGAGAGAATGAGAGAGAGAGCACATGAGAGGGGGGAGGGTCAGAGGGAGAAGCAGACTCCCTGCCGAGCAGGGAGCCTGATGCGGGACTTAATCCAGGGACTCCGGGATCCTGACCTGAGCCAAAGGCAGTTGCTTAACCAACTGAGCCACCCAGGCGCCTGAGAGGGCTATTTTAAAATAAAAGGATTTCTGTTACCAGAAATATGGTAGACTAGATCATCTAAAACTCCTTCTACCTCAAAACACCCAGAATTGAAATATAAAATATCATTTTATCAAATGATATCAAACAAATATCCAATCACAGGTACAGCTGATCTCGCATGACAATAAAGGATTATCTTGGAGGTGGGGTGGGGGATGAACTAAAGTTCTGACCCCAAGAATGCCCGTGGTTATGGTGAGACAGCTGAGGTGTTGGGTTTTAACAGCCATGTGGATCCAGGAGATTAGGTCTCGACCTGAAATGCCCCTCCCGCATGTAAAGTCAGACTCCCAGAGAGCCACACCATTAGTAAAAGGGTGGGCTAATGAGACATCAGCACAAGCAGACAAGAGGTCTTTCTCTTGGGTGGGGGGGGGCATCTCCCCTGAAAATTCATAACCGCAGATCTATCTTCACACTTGTTAGAACTTTGAATTTACACTACTTGCATGGTTCAGAAATTCCCCAAGCTAAAAGTTGACATAAAAAGTGTGCCTAGGCTAATAATGATTATGGAGTACCCAGAAAAAGCAGACACAAACACTGAAGGGCACATCTGCAAGCCAGGCCACACAGAATTCCTATGGATGAAACCTGGCTTAAAATGGGTTCACAATTCAAAATAATAAAATTAACAAGGAATCAGCCAACCATGAGTGAAAACCATCAGACAAAATAAAGAATGTCAGATAGGAGAAATATCATATAGATACTATGAAGTAAGTGTGGTCAAAATTATTAAAGACATAGGAAATTGAATGTATGAGAATATATGACTTTCAAAAAGAGGAAGCAACCTCATCTAAAATGAAAAATACAATAATTGAAATTAATAGTATAATAGCAGATTAGGCAGAAAGAGGAGGGATTTGTGAATGAAATAGAATATAAATCTTAAAAAACTACCAAGAATGAAGCACAAAGGTCTAAAAAAAAATGCAAAACAAAAAAGAGTGGCTAAGAGAGGTACAGAATAGAATAGAGTTCTGATAAATGTCAAATATGAATTCTACACGTATGAAATATAATGATATAATACCTGAGAAATTTCCAGACTTGTACAAAGACCTCAGATTAGGAATGAGTTCTAAAAAAGATAAATCCACATCTAGGCACATGGCAGAGCCTGAATACCACAAAGGGATGATCTTAAAAGCAGCCAAACAGAAAAGACAAATCATGTACAAAGGAATAATAATTAGAATCACAGCAGACTTTTCAACAGAAGCAATGATGGGTGGAAGACAAAGGAAAAAAGTATTCTGCATGATGGGCACCTGGGTGGCTCAGTTGGTTAAGCGACTGCCTTCGGCTCAGGTCATGATCCCGGGGTCCCAGGATCGAGTCCCGCATCAGGCTCCCTGCTGAGCAGGGAGTCTGCTTCTCCCTCTGACCCTCCCCCCTCTCATGCTCTCTCTCTCTCTCTCTCAAATAAATAAATCTAAAAAAAAAAGTATTCTGCATGAAAGACAGTAACATAAGTTAGAATTCTCTACTCAGTTCAACTATCATTCAGAAGTGACAGAAATATAACTGAAAGCATTTACTTCTAAGATATCCTTGCTGAAAGAACTTTTAAAACTTGTAATTCTGAAAGAACACTGAACCCAGAAGGAAGGAGAAAGACAAGAGAAAAAATGGTGAACAAAAATACTAGTGAGCATACTTGTAAATCCAAACAGTGCTGATTATACAAGACAAAAAAATGAGTTGGGGAGGGCTTAAAAATAAGATTTAACCAAAGAGAACAATTACACAGAAGACAAGGGCAATGATGTGATTGAACTAATACATTAAAGTTCTTCTTTTGTGTGGCAGAAGGGTAGAAATACTAATTATTGTTAGACCATATCAAATCAGATGTGTGTGTAAAAATTTAAAGAGTAACCCCTAAAAGTATAGAAAAGGAAGACTAATTAATTTTCAAATTAGTAGCAACAGGTGAATCAAGGTGAATTCCTCAAAGGTGAATAAAGAAAAAGTGACCAATTCAATAGAAGAATGGAAAGAAAGGCATAGAAAAAAATCAAAATAAATAGAAAGCACAAAAAAGATGGGAGAAATGAATAAAAATATGTTACTAATCACAATAAATGCAAATGGACTATTTGCCAATTGAGATAGAGATTGTCATACTGGATTCAACAACAAACTCTGCTATATGCTCTTATAAAACACACTCCTGAAACATAAATATTCAGAAGGCTTGAAAGTGAAAGGATGGGAAAAGATATACCAAACGAATACTAACCAAACTAAAGTTAGTTTCACTATATCAATATCAGATAAAATGAATTATAGATTAAAAGTATTATTAGGGCAAAGAGTGTTACTTCATAGTAATAAAATGAACTTTCCCTGAAAAATACAGTTCTATACTTGTATACACAGTGTCAAGATATACAAAGCAAAAATTGTCAGAAATACAGGGAGAAGTTGACAAATGCACATTAATCGATTTTAATACATCTTTCTTAGTAACTGATACATCAAAAGGCAAAAAATGGTAAGATGGAGAGGACACAACACAATCAATAATCTTGATTTAATAGACCTAACTAGATCCCTACAACCAACGTTAGAATATATATGCTCTTTCAAAGAAAACATGGAAAAGTTTCAAATATTTATTACATACTTGATTATAAAGCAAGTCTCAGAAAATCCTTAACAAAAAGCAACATCGTATACTATATTCTCTTGTACAAGGTAAAACTCAATAACAAAAAGGTAACTTTAAAAAAGGACCCATACGTTTTGAAGCTAAAAAGTACTTTTAAATAACCTCATGGATAGAAAAAGAAATAATGAAAACTAGAAAATATTTTTAAATTGAGCCATTTTCACATGGAGGAGTGGACAGCACCATTTATCTTTAAGAGAAAGCTAGCCGATTTGCTTGGGAAAACTATAGCTGGCTAATTCACCAAAAGCCAATTCACAGAATGGCCAGGTAGCCAAAAGCCAAATGTGATGAAAATTAAACTACTGGATATCGATTTGCTGCAAACCCATCTGAATTATTGAGCATTTAAAAAAAAAATCTGTTCCATCCCCCCTCCTGCCTTTGTCCCTGCCCAAAACGCCAAAATAAACACTTTAAATGAATTTAAAAACGTTCCCCAAAAACCTTTTTGCCTGGAAGAAACGGGGGGGGGGGGGGGGGGATGCAGGAATGGGGTCGGAGGTACAAATAAAACTTTGGGCGTGGAGGGGTAGGAAGGTTTCTCAATCACTGGGAGAACTGGCCATTCAGCAAATTGAGTTTTGGCAAACTGGTCATTCAGCAAATTGGCTGTTGGTGAATTAATCTTAGCCACGGCTGACCCAGAGTCTGGTGTGGGGGGCAGGTACACGCTGGCTAGTGGGAGGAAGTCTACCTCAGCAAGAACGTGGGTCACAGCACAGGCAAGGGTTTTACCACAAGGCTCTATGGCCTTTAGGGGTCCCGAGACCGGGTGCTGAGCTTGAAGCTTTCCTTTTCCATGCTCTGAAACGCTTGTGGTATCTTCAAATGCTCCTACAACCCGCTACACAGACACACCCTGGTCCGGTGTCAGCGATTCTTTAGGTCTGAAGGAGGGGGCTTGGCCCGGGTATGAAGCTGGGCAGTGACTGAGAGTGGTCTCCCCCCGCGCCTTTCCTTGGAGGCCGAGCCAAGGATGTCAACACTGTACCCCAGAGTTCTGGGAGGTGACCAGCAGCAAGGCCAGCGGAGACCCATGGCAGGCCAGAGCTGCTGCAGGGACCAACACTGGGACTGCTGCGCGAGAAATTCTCTTTCCCCAAATATTCCAGAGGAAGAGAACCTACCCGGGAGGGAAGCGGGGGAAGCGGGCTCCCCTGGCGGCGGGCCTCTCCGCTTCGCTGGACCCCTGCTTCTGTCTCGCAGAGCCGGTTTGGCTCCACACGCCCACCTTCCCTGAGCTGTTCTAACGGGGGGTGGTCCTCCAGAGCGGGAATAAGGCTCCTAGTCCTCAGCCGGGGCCCTCCCCCCACCCCCAGCCCGCCGGGTCCAGACCAGGACAATGGTGGGGCCCACGCTTCGTTCACTCATCACACATTTATTTGAGGGCGTTCTACGTTCCAGGAGCTTTTGGGGTCACCTAAATCAACCAAATAGGCCAGCAATTGGTCACACACGAGATGTCATGACCCGGCTCGATGCTCTGCTGAGCGAGGGGACGGGGTGGCAGATCTGAGGATGCGCGGGGGTCTGGCAGCCACTCAGACCCACCCCCGACCGCGGCCCGCGCAGTCTGGCCTGCAGCCCCCTCCCCACCCCAGCGGCCGCTCCCCCCCCGCCACACACACACACCTCCCCGCGGCCTCGGAAACGGTCGGTTTACGGGATGTGACCTCTGGGAGAGGCGGGTCCCGTTTCATCCGAGCGTCTCCACCTGGCACAGAGGACGCACTCAGTAAATGTTGGACCCAAGAACAGATGATGGATGGATGATGACGGATGGACGCGTACCTCGGAACAACACATCCGCAAGCTGGCCACCAGGCGGGACCCGGCGCAGAACCCCTCCCGGCAGCTTCCTGAGGTCTTCAGCGAAGCAGGTGGGGAGGGGGCTTCAAGGAGGCGGCCCGCGGCACCGCCCCCCGGCCCGCGCCGCGGCGCCCTCTGGGACGGGTAGTTCGCGCCTGCGCCCAGCGGGCCGCCGAGGCTGGGGGTCTCCGGGCGGAAGCCCGACCACCCCTCTTGGAGTGGGGGGAGCCGGGAGGCCGGGGCGTGCTCGGCCTCCCCTTTTCCCCACTGCCCGCGACCCCAGCCCCGCTTTCTCCCGCGCCGACCTCAGTCGCCGCTGTCGCCGAGGGTCGCGGCACAGTCTGCGGCCGGGTTACGGGCGCCGCGGGCCGCGCCGGAAGCTGAGAGCGGACGCGGAGTCCCGGGATGGCGCGACAGGTGAGGCGAACCGGGAGGACAGACGGACCGACGGACGCCTCGGCCGGTCAGCTAGGCGCGGCGTGGTGCGGTCTCGTGGTAGAGGGACAAAGACGCGGGGGTCCGCCAACTTTGGTATCGGGCTGTGCTCGGCCGGGCGGGGCTGGTGCGCAGGATTTCGCGCGGAGAAGTCGAGGTCCTTGGACGACCCCGGACCCCCTCCCCAAGCTCCGTTCCCCAGTACCCTGTACGTGGAGCCTGTCTCCACCTTCGGATACTCGTTCCTTTGGGTTACACATCGCCCTCCCTCGGCGTGGCTTCTTTTAATTTCTAGTTATCCTGGGAGTCGTGGGCGTGAATGAAGGCCTCGGGGGAATGAGTAAATCTGATGCTTTTATTCTTGGTAGGATCCTGAATCCTTGGGGGAGGGGGCATGAAAGAAGGCCCCAGGTTTTATCTACCTGGTAAGGTGTGTAGATTCTAGAGGTGGAGAAGAGCCCCCATCTGTCGTAGCCTGGGCAATGCGGGCGGGTAGTGTGCGGGGCTGGGAAGATGCCAGAAAGATATGATGATACCAGTGGGGAATTGTTGCGGTTCCTCAGGGTGGGTGCAGGGAGCCAGTTCTGTAATTTTCGTGGCCGTGAACTTGGGCCAACCTCAGTCAATTGTAGACTCCGTGGTTTGAAGGTGGGTGGGTATTGGGATATGGGCCTGGGCATTTTGTGGCCGGATCTAGCCAACCAGAACCAGAACCTCCAGTCCTTCATGGCCCGCAAGCTCTTGGGAGAAGCCAGGAAAAGTGGATGTTGTGGGAGCAGGGGCAGCCTTCGTTGCGGCTCTGGCTGCGCAGTGAAGCAGCCCAAGGACACCCTTGCTCGGGTATGCCCGCTGGTCCTGTGCGAGGCTCTCCGCAGGCTACAGTTTCCTCTTCTACAAAATGAGGGGTTTGGACCACCAGTCTTTCAGGTCTGATGTTCCAAGAAGGATGCATCCTCACACTGTGTAGCTTCACAGAGAAGGTGGCTAGGAGTGGCTTTGGGGGGGGGGCAGTAGATAACAGTCAGATGGATCGTTACAGGGAACGCCTCTTGTCCTGTCCATTGTGACTCCCAAAAGCCCAGGGATGTGTGAGCACAGCCCATAAGTGAGGGGCAGCAGCGTGCAGGGTTCAAACTGGGAACCCAAGGCTGAGGCATGCTGGGGGAACGGGTCTAGGCTGGGAAGGACTGCGGAAAGATGGATGGGTCCCGTGGGCACAGAAGCTGTGGTTTTCATGCTGGGCTAATGACAGGGTAGAAGGGGTGTTCTAGGAGGACCGGCATGGCTGCAGCGAGCTAGGAGGCTGCACAGTTACATTAGTCCTGGGTCAATCCAGAAAGCTTTTCTCCAGTTGGTTGAGGGAGCGAGGCCTGAGAGCCACAGAGGAGGTGAAGCAGGGCCGGAGGAGACAGCCGGTCCAGATGCAAGCCAGCAGTGTGTTTCCCTCCCCTGAGGCAAGCATTGGTGCCTCACGTGTTTGCACACTCATGCTTGCTCACACACGCACTCCTCACTTTTCCTCCGCTTTTTCTGGGCAGAGGGAGGCCATTGATTGAACCCTCTGTACTGGCCACAGCCAGGTCCCATTTCCATTTTATAAGAACTTTGTCTTGAAGAATGTGTCTTGAGGCCGAGACGGTGAAAGACCTGGAAACCGTCTCTTCCAGATGTCTAAAAGAGTTGGGTATATTTAGCGAGGAGATAAAGAGGCACTGGAAGTCAGGAGTAATGTGTGAGGAAGAGCCCATTCTGTGTAGCTGGGGCTTCCGGCTCTGACCTGCAGGCGGACCAAACAGGTGCGGGGGCTCTAACACTAATCACAGCGCTTACGACATCCCAGCCTTTGTTCCAGGCACTTTTCCTATATTAATTCATTTACTCTTCACAACATCCCCATGCTGCAGGTCGTTATGATCCTGATTTTATAAATGAGTTCACCAAGGCCCATGTGGGTTAAGTAGTTTGGCAAGGTCGCATAGCTAATATGAAGCAAAGCAGGGATTGGAATTCTGGCAGCCTGGCTCCTGGCTCTTGACCAGCTCTGACTTCCATGCGGTACCTACCTTATCTGTGTGCCCAGGACTGCTGCTGCTTCCTTTTTTTTTTTTTTTTAAAGATTTTATTTATTTATTTGAGAGAGAGAGAGAGAACGCATGAGCAGGCGGGGAGGGGCACAGGGAGAGAGAGAAGCAGGCTCCCCACTGAGCAAGGAGCCCTGATGCGAGACTCCATCCCAGGACCCTGGGATCATGACCTGAGCCGAAGGCCGACGGTTAACTGACGAGCCACCCAGGCGCCCCTGTGTCCGGGACTTCTTAAATGCCAGATTGGGCCAGGGATAGGACCAGCTGCCGGGAATGTGGTGAGCCACCCATTACTGAAGGCATTCAAGGAGAAATTGAAGAGACATCCCATTTTGGGTGGAAATTGGCATTAAATGATCCTTGCTCCTTAAAGGTCTAGGCAGTTGTCTGATTTCTGGTTCACAAATGCACAACGTTTGAGAGCTGGCTCCTGGGAAGAAAGAGGGCCGAATCTGTTTTCAGGGGTCCGTTCCCCAGCATACTTTTCACTTCCAGCAGGGTTGGGCAGGACTCCAGCCTATGACTGGGCTGCAGTGCTCCCCTGCCCTGTGGCTCTAAACTGAGAATGTGTCAGAATCACGGGAGGCTTGAAAACGTAGATTTCTGGGCTTACTCCTGATTTAGTAAATCAAGGATGAGGCAGGGAAATCAGCCCTAATTAAAAGGAACCTGAAGTAAATCGTTTGAACCTAAAAGCGCTTTTGTTTTTTCAGTCATTATAATGGTTGGAAAAAGCTTTTTTTTTTTTTTAAAGGTTTTATTTATTTATATGACAGAAAGTGAAACAGCGAGAGAGGGAACACAAGCAGGGGGAGTGGGAGAGGGAGAAGCAGGCTTCCCACCGAGCAGGGAGCCCGATGTCGGGCTCGATCCCAGGACCCCGGGATCATGACCTGAGCCAAAGGCAGATGCTTAACGACTGAGCCCCCCAGGTGCCCCTGGAAAAAGCTTCTGATGGGAGAAGCTGAGGAGAGAGTATTTTTCACTCAATTTGTTAAACAGAGAACTTGTCTGCTGACATCTCGGGATAAACTAGCCCCCCCCCAGTGTCACATGACTCTGCTGGGTCCTCCCACGTTCCACGTCCCAGCCAGAGCAATGCCATTTGGACTCTGCCATTCAGCAGTGTCTACAGGAACATTTCTTTGAACTCAAGATCTGCCACTACAAACTTGACTGGGAAATAATAATCTTGAAAAATGAGATGTTTGTTTGATGGTTGTTTTTTTAAGGTTTACCAAGGTCATTGGTTATTACAGTCACAATTAAGCACAGCAGAAAAAGCACCAAAATCTCAGCTCAGAGGGCCCCATTCCTAGACTTGGCGCTGTGGTGGTCTACCAGCTCCACTCGCTGCTTCCCCACTTGGCACTGTGTGAACCCTCACCCCACACGTGGGGTAACAGTGTCTGACCAGCTGCCTGCAGAGATCCGTTTTGTTAATCGATGAGAGCTCTGAAATGCTCCGAAACAAAGGATCCCACATCTGATGTCTGGGTCCCTTGAGAATAGAGCCTGCATGGGACACAGCTCACTTGGCATCCAGCAGAGTGCCCATAACATGCGAGTAGTGTTCAGGTGAGCCGGGCCGGGCTAGGCTGAGTGTCTTGCGTACCTGGTGCACGCGCAGGGTAGCTTGTGTCGGGGGAAACCTGGCCTGCAGAGGAGCGGCCACATGCCCTGATCTCCGGCAGTGGCCGTCAGGTGGGATATGCTCAGGCTGGCTGTGGTTCACATGACCTGCGTCCCATGGAGAGGGCGCGGGGAGAGGGTCAGCAGCTAGACCCTACTGTTGGCTGTGTTGTATCTGTCCAGAATCCAGCAAGAAATGGGGATGGCTCTTTGAGAGATGTTTTTGAGGGTGTCTGAGCGTGTTCCTGAAAGGGAGACACCATACTTGGGCTAGAGGGGTGGGGAGGACTTCCAGAAGGTCTGCTGGCTGGCCGGGAGAGCTTGAGAACCACTGGACCAAAGGCAGTAGGCCGCGGAGAGGCTGCCTCCAGCCGGCTGTGTGGACGGGGTCTTGACCGGTTCAGCAGCGCAGTGGAGGGCAGTCATGACCATACGGTTCCAGCTGTCAGGGGGACGGGCAGAGTGGGGGGCAGATGCTGGTGGTGACAACGCTGAGAGTTGGTAGCAGCAATAGTTTTTAAAGTCACTGACTTGAGTTGATGAAACAAGGCGGTAGATTAACTTCTTTATTAGGAGTGTTTTCATTTTATTCAGTCATTTTTCTTACAAATTTTTGCTGTAATTTTAAATACATGCCTATCAGATGCTGGTAATCTTCTGGGGTCTGATAGCCATTTTAAAGCCCACTTAGTGAGGATTTTTTAAAGAAGTCAGGACAGAATGTTTCTTGTATCTTGCAAAGCAGGGGATGCTGTCCAAGGGTGATTCCACGTCTCTTCCAGGCCCTTCCCTGCAGAGTAGGCCACAGCATACCAGGCTGCAAGCCCACAGGGATGCAGAGTGGAGAGGTCCAGGAGAGGGCTGGGATGGGGGGAGGGGAAGGGGGCAAGGAGGCCTGACTGGTGGCCTGGAAGGGCTCCTGCAGAGCATAGTATCCATGTGCTGCACGGGCTTGGTGGTAAATGCCATGGGTCACAGCCACGGGGATCACGGTGGCTGGCCGGGGCCTGAAGGTCAAGTGAGACTGGGAAAGTGAGGGCAGGCTCAGCCCAGCACGGGCCTAGGGTCTGGCAGAGCAGCTGGGCCGTAGGATTTGGGGTCTGAGGATCGAGGGCCACCGGTGAGCATGGGTGCGTCGACGGCTGTTCTTCATTCCTGGTCGCACGGTCGTCTGCCCTGGTGTGGGAGCCTTGGCCTCCTCGAGACGTCCCGGGCTGTTTGAGATGCTCTCTCTCTCGCTCTCTGTCTTGGGGTGTGGCTGGGAGGAGCCCCGTAAGCATTCTGCCTACTTGATTCCTGACTGTTGTGTCATCCCCACTAAAAGGTACGGAGTGTTTTGTTCTTTGTCGTACTTACTATTCGTTTTATCTATGATCTTGTTTTAATGCCGTAGCGATAGGACCTCAGGTCCTTGCACAGTCGAGGCGAAGTTTGCTTATTAACTCCAGTGACTCTCCCGTGGTGAACTTAGAGCTGGCTGGGCTTCCCAGCCTGGAGTCGGCCTTTTCTTAGGCCCAGGCTGAGGGCCACGGACTGTGAGGACTTCTGGGGGCGGGGTGCCTGTAACGAAGTACCACAGACTGGCAGGCTTCACCGGCTAGTGGATCCTCTCACTGTGCCAGAGGCGAGGGAACCCCAGCCAGGGCCGTGGGGGGCTATGCCCCCCGAAGGCTCTAGGGAAGGGGCAGAGGGTGCTCTGCTCCTCCTCTCCTCCAGCCTCCGGTGGTCCCACATTTCCTTGGCTTGTGGCTGTGTCACTTCATTCTCTGTCTCCATTGTCACCACGCCTTCTCCCCGTGTGACTGTGTGTCTTCTCTTCTTATGAGGACACTGGTCATACTGGGTTAGGGGCCCACCCTACTCCAGTCTGACCTCACCCTAACTACATCCGCAAGGACCCTATTTCCAAATAGGGCCACGTTCATGGGGGACAAGGGTAGGGACTTCAGCACACCTTTTGGTGGACACAGTCCGAACCCCATCTCTGTCTCGTGAGCAGATTCCCGTGAAGCACTCCTTCACCTGCTCCCACGTGTCAGGCCTCCGCCACACTCTCACTGCTCCCCACTCCCTGGTGTACCCCTGGAGACACGGTGAGGCTGGCGGCACTGGGAGGGAGCCACCAACTCCCTGGAGATTGTGCCCACAGGTGTCCGTGGCCTTCCAGGACCTGGCCGTGAGGTTCTCCGAGGAGGAGTGGCAGCTGCTGGGGGAAGGGCAGAGGGCACTCTACCGCGACGTGATGCGGGAGAACTACGAGACGCTGCGCTCCCTGGGTAAGGAGCCCGCCCCAGCCCCGAGGAAAAGTGGAGGGAGGTGGGATCCAGGACCAGGCAGGTCCTGAGTCACCTTGAGCCCGCCAGGCCTGAGTCTTAACTACAGAATGAATACAGTTTGAGGTGGTGTTCCGAGAGCCTCAGGCTGAGCTGAGGGCCTCACAGATCTTTTATGCCATTGTTTCCATAGTCTGCACCAGGGTTGTGGGTAAGATTCGGTCAGGGCACCCCAGAACGGGCCAAACACCGAGCAGCCTGGTCTCTGAGCCTCCGGTGGCCCCGCAGTTCTTGGGGTTTGGGTGATCATGTGAACACACACGTAAACAGGTGTATGCGTGATTGTGGTAGGTGGAGGCCAGCTTCCATTCCCAGGGGCTGTCCCTCCCTCTTTTCTTTCCCAGGGACAGATGAGCTGCTCCCCCTCTCTGCCTTCCTGTCTCCTACGGCGCCTGGAGGAGCCACGGAAGGCAGGAGCTACGCTGGTGAGGGGCAGGAGCCTCCTAGGGGAGGAGGCCCCCTGGGTGAGTAATCCTGATAGTTGAGGGTCAGGCCCCGTTGGGTGTCCTGGGCCCAGGTGGACTCACTCTAGTCCCTTCCGCCATGCAGTCCTCAGCCCCTGGCTTTACTCCTCAGGGAACACTGTGCCCTCAGCCCTTGGCACACTCAATAGCCAAATCTCTCTGTGACCTTTCACCCTTTGCCGCCCTGGGCTGTGAGCCTGGCACACTGTTGCCCGTTGTATGCAATGCTAGGAAGAAACCTGGGGTCACCCGTGGAGAGCACCCCGTATTCAGGCCTCCTTCCTGCCACTGATGTGCAGAGCCAGCCTGCAGCTTCCGAGGGTGCTGCCACATGGCTGACCTCAGATGCTAGATATGGCCCACGGGCCCAGCCTGGGTGGGGCCGCAAGGGCAGGGGTGCCCGGAAGGGCAGAGGGCCCGGCCGGTGGGAGGGGTGGGGAGGCCGCCCTCCGTGGCATTCCCCTGGAGCAGTACCAGGTAATGAGGGACACTGCCTAGAGTCCCCAGCCCCTGGTCCCAGCTGTGCCTGGGGCAGATCCTTTTTACTTCCCGGAGGTCAGTCTCCTCTGGGCTGCTACCCACGTGGTAGGAGGATGACATGAAACTCTGGGTAGTAGTCGTATGCAGAAGCGTGAGTGCTGAGCTGAGGGTGTGGGGGTTCACTGCGGCCTCTTCGGCAGGAGGCACGCCCCCGCACAGCCTGCACCTCACTGCCCTGGTGCAGCTGGTCAAGGAGATTCCGGAGTTCCTGTTCGGGGAGGCCAGCCCGGAGAGGGGGAGCGGGAGCGGGAGCGGGGCAGCCAGCCCGGACGGGGAGCAGGGGAGCCCCGAGGGTAAGTCGGACAATATCAAGTTAAAGCTGGGTGCTGTGGGCCTGCCAAGCCCCTGCTAGACCCTAGGTGGAGCAGTCTGGGTCACGAATTCCCTGGTAGCATGTCTGCCCCCAAGAAGGCATGGGTAGTGCGTGAGACGGGGCTCCTGGCCTTTCTCATGCTGGTTTCTACCTGTCGCATCATGCCCTGTGTGGCGGGTGACGGCAGGTCCTGTTCTGGAGATGAGAAGGAAGCCGTGCGCAGTCTGCATGGCCAGTGGGGCCCAGTCCCCCAGCCTGTGCTCTGCCCATATCCTCAGACTCTTGGTCCTGCCCCCTGCTCTGCTCACTGGGTGCTTTCAGGTCAGACCGTACTTCCTCGAGAAGTCTGTCCCCACGAGCCCTGGACTTTGAGCCCGCTCAGTGGCAAATGACCCAGAAAGTGGGGGTGGGGAGGATCTTATCAGAACAATACTGGGGCTATGAATCTGTGTTTCAGAGCCCGGGAATGACAATGCAGAGGATACTGACATCCGGGTCATTGTCAGTGGCACAGGGCAAGGAAGGGCCCGGATGGGACAGTGGTGGGGGCGTTTTACCCACTGCTGGGCTTAAGTCTAGTTTTGAGTGTCCTCTCCCTCCTCCCCAATAGCAGCTGTGACTGTGGAGACTTGCCCTCTCCAAGGCCTGCTCGGCTGCCTTCCAGACGCGCCTACTGGCTGGCCCCACCTGGCCACCACATCTAGCAGTGGCTCATCGTCCAGCAACCTGCCTGGAGCCGGGGGCCAGGGGAGCCCCGTCCCCATCAGTGAGTGCGACCCAGCAGGGGCAGGGCTCTGACCCTGGAGGCAGGGGGACTGGACTCTGTGCCCTCTTCATGATCTCTAGGACTCAGTTTCTCTTATTGCTAAAGTGGGCTCGCTCCCCAGAGAGCAGGACAGGGGCCTCTGTCCGTAGAGCAGAGAGGAAGTGTGATACTCGGTCCCTGAGCAGCTCTCTCCTAGCCCTGCTTGCAGAGTCCTGTGTGGTCATGCACAGGGAGCGGAAGGCAGTTTCCAACATGCTGGCCTGTTGGCAAGGGACACCCCTGTGTGCGCCTGACCTGAGTCTCAGACCTTCTCACCAAGGCAGCCCTAAGAGCAGAGGAGGGCAACTAGAATTTCTCTGGGGTCTTGTTGTATTTCTAAAAATTCTTGCAAATTTTGCATTTGTTGGAATATCTTTCATTTAAAATATTTTAAATGAATATGGACTAAAATTGGCTCTCCTGAAAAACAGACCCCATTTTAGGTGTCACTTGGCAGATTTGCTCTGGGGGTCCACATGCTCAGATTTGAGAAGCATGAGTACAAGGTTGGGCCCTACTTGTCAAGGCTGCCGGACTCTCTTATTGAGCCAAAGTCAGAGGCTGGAGTTGGGGGGTTCCGTGTTACTCAGAGCAAGCAGTCTTGGTGTTTACAATGACACCGGAAGGAAACAGGGAAAGGAGCCCTGCCTTTGCCAGGATGGGTTCCTAGGACAAGCCTGCAGGAGTTGACTCTGCCACAAATCCAAGTTTCCAGGACTTGGCTGCCCCCCAGGGATGTGTGGGGGGCTGAGAGGCCTGTCCTCTATGGGGACCAATCTGGGGCAGTTCCTCAGGGCCAGGAGCCAGGGCTAGAAAGACCTTTCTGTCTCTCCTGTAACAGAAACTCCTGACAAACCAAGACCTACAGAGAAGGAAGGCCCGGAAGCCCCAGGTGGGGAGCCCAGCCCTCCTCCCTATAGCCCCAGCAGGAAGAAGGGCCACGGAAGACAGGGGAGAGCGACGCTGGGGGCAGGTGAGAGGCTGGCTCTGCTGAGAGCGGGGTGTGCCCTGGAGCTGAGCGGGGGAGGGAAATGGAGGCATGCTCGGTTCACACAAGCCTGTCAGGTGGCTCTCTCATCTCGGCCCCCTGACGGCCCTACATGGCAGGTGTCCCTGTTCACACAGGTGGGAATCTCAGACCTTCTGAGAGTCCCATAGCCACCATCATCAGGGCGGCCCTGACCTTGGCTGGTCTTGCAGGTGCTGTAGGAATCTCTCCTGGGAGCAGCCCCTTGCAAGGCCTTATCAACTGCCTGAAGGAAATCCTTGTGCCTGGACCCCAGCACCCTGAGGTGTCCCGAGGCTTGCTGCCTCCTGACCCCGGCCAGGGCACCTCCCAGCTAACCGGAGCGGAGCTGAGGCCTGAGAGCCCACCCTGGGGAGGTGAGTCCCCTGGGGACCTGTCTCCTCAGGGCAAGGTTTCTGAAGCCCCAGAAAAGCTCAAACTGCCTTTCTGTGGCCGTGTCTCTGCAAATACAGTCTCTTCCCAAAGGAGCATTCCCAATACGGCTGCCCTACTGTCATCGGTGGCCTGTTGCTGGAGCCGGGTGGCTTTTTTAGGAGAATGACATTTGGTCAGCTGGTAGAAGGAAGCTCAAAAACAGACTTGGCCCTGGATCCTTTTGTGTTTTTAACTCGTCCTAATAACGGGACCTTGAGGAGGAGCTGCCGAGTTATCACTCTAAGTGGGCACTTAGAGTGGGGGGGGGGCGTGCTAGGGGCAGGAGCTGTGAAGACTATGAGAGGTTCCTGAAGCCTTTGAGCCTTGGTTTCCCCATCTGTGAAAGGGGATCATCGTTCCCGCCTTTGGGTACAGTGAGTCTCAGATACAGTAACGTACTTGTGTGTGTGTGTTTGTGAAAAGCTTGGTCCTTAGAGAGAAGCTTTGCTTGGGGCCCAGGGAGCCACGGGCAGGTAGGGACCTGTCTGCTCGCTTCTTTCCCCCTGTACGTGCCCCACCTTGATGCTGCACCTTCTCCTCTCCCTCCTTCCAGCCGTCTGCTTCAGGGAGGTGTGAAGACAGGCCTTTTTTTTTTTTTTTTTTTTTTTTTTTTTTGGGGGGGGGGGGGTGGGGGGGGAGAGATAGAGGTGGTGGGGAAGGGGCAGAGGGAGGAGGAGAGAGAGTCCTAAGCAGACTCTGTGCTGCGCACGGAACCCAACATGGAGCTCCATCCCATAACAACTGCGCCACCCAGGCGCCCAAGACAGGCATTTTTAAACTAAGCACAAGGAGACAGTGGCCTGTGCGGGTCTAAAGGAACTGCAAGAAGACCCACATTTCCAGATTTCTGGCCCTTACCTGGACTGTCTGCTTTTTGTTGTTTGTCACGACTGGGCTCAGGGTGAAAATGCGTTCCTTTTTTGTATAGTGAAGACAGAGGCAGCTTCCGGGGCTTGTCCCCTCCAGGGTCTGCTGAACTGTCTGAAGGAGATCCCGGAGGCCCGGCACAGGCGTCCTAGCCCCTCAGGAGTAGGGGACCCACCGCTACAGGAGGACCCAGGGACCTGCCAAAGGAATTCTGGAGGTAAAAGCCACTGACTGGGCAGCGAGGGCCCCAGGACAATATCCGTTTCCTTTTCCAGCTCCAAGCAGGCCTCCACATCAGGCCCTTAGGCCCTCGCCTCTGCGTGTAGGTCGGAGTTGCCACATGTTAGGGACCATCCCTGTGAATGGAGTTAGGCCTGTAGGAGGTGCTTCATCAGTCCATGATCACTATCCAGGTTGGCTGTTAGAGTAGGGCTGCAAGTTCCAGAAGGGAGGAATGGAGCATAGGGACGGGGAGGCCCGAGAGCAGAGATGGCCCGTGGACACCGGGGGCATATCTTGAATTGGGTGCTCGCGTCATATTCATGTGGGCTTGCGTAGTGTTTCCACACACTGTAGCTCACCAATACTCGGTAGCTTCTCAGACTGCTGAGGAAGTCGAATTGACACAGACTTGCTGGCCTTGGAGGAAAGACCTTGATTTGGTGCCCCCCGAGGAGCCTGATGTGGCGTCCCTCAGTAGAAACCTCTAGAGGTGCCCCAGAGGCCCTGGGGCAAGATGGGAGTGTGAGCTGCTCCATGTACTAGTGTTTGAGCAGTGACCACCTTGGAGCCAGAGACTGCTGTGGAGGCCAGGGGCCTTGGGAGCCCTGTCCTGACCCTGTAATGGCCTCATGGGGGCTTCCCACAGGGCCCAGACCCCTGCAGACCCCTCCTCCCGGGCCTGGTCCGGGAGCTGGCAGCGTGCTCTCTGTGGTGAAGATGGAGGACGGCTGGGCCCAGAGCCTCCCCGTGCCTGCGTCCTGTCAGCTCAGCAAGTGGACCCACAGCCCCTCTGCCGCCAGCAGCCAGCGGGGCGACGGAGAGACCAGAGGGGCCCGAGTGCCCAGCTGGGGTCCCATAGCTCAAGGTGAGGCCTGGGGGCATCTCTCAAGTCCTCCAATGGGATTCTCAGCCTCACCAACAAGGTTCTGCCAGCCCACAGGGGAGGGAGCAGGTCCAGCCCACAGGGGGAGGCCCTGGCTGTCCTTCTCAGGCAGTGACTCCCGTCTCTCCACCTACATCCTCCTTAATCCAAGGGCCTGGGAGCTTTCCATCGTAAGGACTTTAGTTTACAGAGATTTCCTGCCTGTCAGGAAGCTGGTCCCTACATACATGTGGGTCTCTCCGCCCCACCCCGGGGCTGGGGTACAGATTTGTCATTGCCCTGTAGGAACAGAGAGTGAATCAGTGTCCCCCACAGGGTGTCCTGCCTGGCAGGCCTCCACGCCTGGTGCAGGACTTGCTGCCCCTGCAGAAGGCAGGTTGGGGCAGCCAGCCTAGGGCCGGGCCAGGGGAACGTGCCTGAGATGGTGATAGGGCCATCTCCCCTGTCCCAGCCGGCAGTGCCTCGAGCTCACCCCTGGAAGCCCTGGAGGCCTGTCTGAAGGGCATTCCCCTGAGTGGGTCGTTACCTCCCCAGCCGCCGGCCACCTCTGGATTCCAGAGCCCTCAGCCAGGAGACCCCGGGTCTCAGAGGCCCGAGCTGCAGCCCTGCAGATCACACACTGAAGGTAGACGGGGCCCTGGGCTCAGGGGTGCTGAGCCCATTGTTAGGTGCCCCGCTCCTCATCCTGGGCCTCTGGAGGTGCAGGCCCTTCTGTAGCCCCTTTATTGATAAGAGTTCCCGAATGTGGTGGAAGCCCGACTCTTCCTGCCCACTGCCCCCTCTGAGGGCTCCTACTTTCTAGCCCCATGAGACCAACAGTTGGGTTCACGTGGGTTTTTTAACCAGTGCTTGAACCCCTAACTTAAGGAGAGACCCTTCTGGGAGATCCTTTAGGGTAGGTATCCTGGTTGCCCACCCCCAGCCCAGGGCCCAGGGGACCTCTTGTCCAGTGGCTTTCTCGTGATGTCAGCTGTGCTGTTTCCTACAGAGGTGACTGTGGGGCCTCTTCTGGCTCTGAGTCTGCAGGGCTATGTGAGAGGCAGCCCTGCCCTCCCCTCAGGTCCCCACAGCACCCCTCCCAGCTTCTCCTCGTCCAGCAGCACCGATGGGGACCTGGATTTCCAGAGCCCTGGGGGCAGCCAGGGGCGTCCGCCTGGAAAAGGTGAGCTGGCAGGCCTGAGCCTGGGGGTCAGTCCTGGGGAAGGATGAGAGGCCCCCTGCCTACCGTCATGTCTGGCCCAACCGGGGTAGGCTGCCATCCCTGGTGTCTGGACCAGAGCTGGGGATGTTGAGGCAGGAGCAGACACGGGACTTACTGCAGGGTAGCGGTGGGGTGGGGGGCGGGGGGGGGTACTTAGCTCCGAAGGGGCAGGACAACAGCTAAGACCCCTTACAAAATAGAAAAAGGTCTCCTTTAGTGTCAACTTTTTCCTTATCCCAGCCACAAAGAAATGCCTCTGACTGAAGACAAAATGTCCCGAGGTTCATATAAAAGCACCTTAAGGAGTGTCTGTGGTGACCTATGTCTCTCCAAGCACCCGCCCCCCCCCCCCCCCGCCCCCGCCTGGTGAAGAGGTGGCCACAGTTAGCTGTCACACCTCTTGGGAATTTTGCAGGACTCTGTAGTGTCCCCCTTTGAATCATCCAGGCGCTCTTGGTCTGCCTTGTCCACGCGCACTGGGTCCCCTGTTGGCTCGCCTTTGTATCCTGTTGTCTGCGGAAGGCCTAGAGCCGCCCCCGCGCTCTGCCCCGGGCCAGCTGGAGCCTGTGGAGCTCTGGGGCCTCCTGGTGCCCGCGGCAGCCCGGATTCCTGCCAGGCCGTGGGGGCTCTTCCCTCCCCCCCAGGGCAGCCAACTTTTCTTTTTAAGTTTTAGTTTTTAATAGGCAATCACAGGGTTTTGTTCAAAAGCTATAAAAGATTGCAGAGGAGAGATGATGTCGCCCTCCACCCCCCCCCCCCCCCCCCCCCCCCAATCCCCCCTTGCGTTCTCTCCCCTTCCCAGGGCAGGCTCTGCGCGGCCCAGCTGCTGGTTCCCTCACACAGGCGGTAGCATTCTGTACGCAGCTTTCCACCTTGCCTTTTGTTTTACCATCTCCCTTTGGCATCTTCCTGAATTTTGTCTGCGTTTTTCTTGGACCCTAGCAGCACCCCATCCCTCCTAACCACTGCTCGGTACCCGTCCATAGGGGTTAGCACATTGCTTGTTTGTGCGGCCTCTGTGGGTGCACTTAGCTTTCTAAGGAACCCAAACCACAGGAGAGTTCGTGCTGCCTTTTAGAAGCTTCCAGCCCAGCTCCCCAGCTCCCTCTGTTGCTGTAGAACTCAGGGAAACTGCATTTGGGACTCTTGTAGTTGAACTTTAATGTTCCGGCCCCACGCGGCAGCCCAAAGCTCTGATACTCTCTCTTCGTGCCCTGCCTGGCCTGGCGTCAGCAAATGCCTTCCAGAAAGAGCATGGCCACGATGTCAGCTCACGCAGGAAGGGCCTTTCCTTTTTGGACTTTCGGCTCATCTACTTTCTGCTGCTTCCACGGCTCTGTCACTAGAAATGCAGTATTTGCGATTTATTTGTTTTTTTTCCCCAAGTTGCGACTGCACTAGTGTTGGTCTTCTCAACCTGCTACATCATATCTGGAGGTGAAGGCACCTTTAGCGTTTCCCTCCACTAGTGGAGGGGGCTTCAGGGCTGTCTGCGGGCGAGGCAGCATGGTGGCCTCCCTCCCAGGGGTGGAGCAGGGTGTCATGCCTGTGGCTGATCGCCCTTGTCACAGCCCACTGACCAGTTCTGTGTCGATGGCTCAGACAGATTGGCTTCTTCCAGGGCCAGCCCAAGTGGGCCTGCCCACAGCCAGGACTGACACGTGTTGGGGACCAGGTGCCTGGCATGACAGGTCCTCTGAGCCTCCTCCGTGGCCCCAGCTGCCCTGGCCACAGGGGTGGCGGTGAGGCTCCCAGGCTTTGCAGAGACTGAGCCCTGACCATCCAAGATTGCAAATGTTGGGTTTTCACAGGAAGCCCAGTGGGAAGCTCCCCGCTCCAGGGCCTGGAGAACTGTCTCAGAGAGATACCTATGCTCAGGCCGCAGTCAGCCTCGTCCTGGTCCTCAGCAGGGGACAGGGGGTCCCAGAGAGCGGAGCCCAAGAATTGGACGGCAGACAGGGAAGGTAAAGCACGGCTGCCCCAGCGTCGGAGAGCAGGGAAGGGCGACTCTCACAAGGCCAGCCCCGGCCCTGTCCTCCCCACGCAGTTGGCAGGCCCACCTCCAGCCCTGAGAGGAGAAGACGTGGTGGAAATGGCCTGGGCAGAAGCTTGTGTGAGGCCGGGAAGCCAAACAGTGCCGCCGGCCTCTGAGTGGTGGGTGGAGTCAGGGCAGGACACCCAGGGCTGCTTGGGGCCGGGGCTGGAGCCGGGGCTGGAGCCGGGGCTGCGCGCCTGGGACGGGCCAAGCAGGTGAGTTGCAAGCCCTGCCGTCTGTTGCTCGAGTCCAGGCCTGAGCCAGGGCCTTAGCAGCGGAGTACCTTTCGATCCTGGCTGTGTTGGCTTCGAGGGCCTTGGTGTCCGGCACATTCGCTGAGCTGTGGGGCCCCCAGGACTCCAGGTGGCCAGGTCTGGGGATAAAGAGGTCCTGGAAGGTTTGGGCGGCTCCCGGGAACACCTGCAGGCCTAGCGTGTGTCCCGCACCTGGAGCTCACTTGCCCAAGAAGCCAACAGTGGTGGAAGCTGTGCTCTGTCCAGTGACTTCCTTGCCTCAGTGGGCAACCCCATGGGGCTGACAGGCCTCTTGGCTTCTCATTGAAACAGGACTGAGAGGCGAGGCCTGTGAGCCAGCTCATCTGGGACAGAGTCAGGGGGAAGCACCCACCCGGAGCTTCCGGCTGGCCAGCCCCCAGGCGCTCACCTCCAGCAGCGGCCCCATCTGCTACCAGCGAGGGCTCAGAGACCATGGGGCCACCAGGCCAGGGCCGTGGAGGTGGCCCCAGGATGGTGAGCTGACATCTGTCCTGCTGTTCCGTGGCATGTCTTCCCTCCCAATAAAATCTTTGATGAGGGACTCGATTCCCCCTTCCCTCTCCTCTGCTCCCTCCACCCCAGTGCAGCGCCTGGCTCCCGGGCAGCTGGGGCGAGTGTGCTGGCTGCCCCACGGCTCGGCTCGGGCTGCGTGCTGGGGTGCGTGCTGGGGCGTGTGAGCATTCCCCAGACTCCTGGCTGCAGTGCTCCGAGGTGTGCTGGAAGAAGACCGTAAATGGGTCGCTGAAAGGAAAGGGGGGGACGGTTTTCAGTGGCCTTGGGGTTTCTCTGGGAGACAACTGGTTATTTCCTTTATTGCAGTAGTTGCCTGGGGTCACGGTGGGGGGTGGGTAATGGGGGTGGGGGGATCTCCCTCTGCTCTTGCTGCTGCTCATTTGTACTTACAGCGGTGTTCCTTCCTAGCCCTGCCGGAGTCGGCTGGCAGGGTCCGGCTTACTTGGATAAATGTGGTATTTCTAAATATTCCCAGCAGAAGAGAATTGGCTCTGGGAGGCTTCCTGTGGACAGGACTGAGTCTCTGCTCTTGGGCCCCTGGTCCCGAGTGAAGCAAGTAGGGGCCGCTGGGCTCAACACCCGGAGCCTGTCTGGAGCCAGACTGCTGGCGGCTGGTACCAGGGACTTGAGACTTCAGGAAAGTTCCCCGCTGGCTTTGTTCCTCCCCACCTTCCATGGCCAGAGAGGGTCTCCCAGAGCTTGTGTGGGGCCGTTGGCTGAACTGCAGGGGGACCAGCTCTGCGTGCCTGTGCACTAAAGTAGGGGGTCCTCCTGCCTGTCATAGGCTGATGGACAGGATGTTCTTCTGTTGTCATTTGCCCAGGCGCAGCCACGAAGCCCTCCCCACTCCACTGTCTGGAGAACTCTCTGAAGGGGATCTTGCCCGGGAGGCCCCTGCGCTTCGCCTGCTTGGCAGGTCCCAGTCCCAGCCCCAGCCCCAGCCCCAGCTCCAGCTTCAGCAGCTCAGAAGGAGACGAGTTCTGGCAGCTGCTCCCTCAGGGTGAGCTTGCAGGGGACAGAGGAGGCCAGGGAGCCATTCCCTCCTCCCCCGGGGTGCAGCCGCTGCCCTGACACCAGCTTTGTGTTGCCAGAGAGGGACCGTCTTCCTGGCTGCAAGGCCCCTGGCCCTCTGTCCCCACGCCCGGGTGGCGCCCCCACTGGCAGCAGCCCTGGTGAAGGCCCGGGGAGAGCAGAGCCCGGGGACCGCTGCAGGCTCGGTGCAGGTGAGCCCGGAGACTCCTGGGAGGGGGCCTGGATTCTCACTTTGCCTGACTCTTGCCGGAAGTTCTCTGCTTTTGTCATGCTTGAGTTCCCTGCAGGTTCAGCCGGGTTTGAGAGAGAAGGTAGGGCCCAGGGCCCCAGCATTGTTCAACAAGTGTGTTGAATTAGAAAGCCGGGCAATGAACCTAATACATATACATGCTCTCTCCCTAGAACACCTACACGTTGTATGTGCTAATAACGTCTGTACACATATATAGTGTTGTGTTGGTCCCCAGCCTATCAGAGGTGATGCTCTCAGCGAGGGATGCCTGGGGCGCTCTCCCAGCCCATGTTACTCGTAGGGAGCCCCGTGGACATTTACCCCCCCACCTTGGGGTAAATCCTGTGGTTCTTAGAATCATAGGACGCATGTCAGCAAAAGCCATCAGGGACCCTGGAGGAACAGGATCTATGACCCCAGACCCCGCGGGGCATGCCGTGGGGTCCCAGGTAGAGAGGTACAGCAAGAGTAACGCGCACGCCCGGGACTCTGCCTTTACTCAGCTCCAGAGTGCAGTGTCTGGGTTCGGCGGGTTTGCTCTTCACTGGGGAATTTAAAACATCCTAGCGGGAGTTAGGGCACAGGGAGGGGGGAGCGGGGTCGCTCAAGTGGCCAATTATCTAAATCTCCGTGACACTGGGCCTTCTGAACGAGGTCGGGCGGGGCAGCCTGGTTCCATGTCTGGAGGGTTTGCTCGTCGCTGGGTCCAGCGGCCGACTGTATGTTTACCCAAGATGGATGTCTTCTGAGAACTTCGAGGTCATCCTGTCAAATGCCTGCCCCCCCGCCCCCCCCCCCCGCCCCCAGGCAGCCTCGCTCCTCAGTCCAGGCCTGACCCGGTGTTTCTCCCCGCAGGAAAAGCAGAAGAGAAGACAGGGGGCAGGTCCCAGTTGCCCTGGAGAGACGTGTACTCAGAAACCCCGGGCCGGCCTGGCCCCCTGGGCAGTGCTGGAGGAGGTAGGGGTGCGGTGAGCAGTTGGGGAAGGGAGCTCCCTCCCAACTCAGCCTTTGGCCCCTGCACTGGCTGGGCCGTACCCGTGTTCCTCCCGTGGGACACGGCAGAGCAGGCTGGGCACGGGCCAGTTTCCCATGGCCCATAAGGTGCCCCCCTCACCAGGGTGGGGCCTGCAGATCATGGTCCTCTCCATCTGCTCCCTCCGGCCTTCACCTTGTGGTAGAGCTAGAGGTGTCAACCCTGGCTACGGAGGACTCCAGGACGAATCCACTCTACCCTCCTCACACATGCCCCAGCAGGCCATTCAGCCAGGGTTGGGCTCCCTGACAGGCTAGTTGTATCTGTCTTGCATCCCATTTAACCATTGTTTGAAAGTTGAAAGTTCAGTTTTTTTAGGCCATGTCCAAATATCCGCATGTCAGAAGGGGTATCCATGCCCCCGGTGCTCTGTGCTCTTTCTGCAGGGGCAGCTGGGAACCCCTGCCCTGCTCCTCAGCCAGAGAAGAGGCCTGGCCCAGGGCCCTGCCAGCCTCTTGGATCAGCCCCTGGGCCCCTGTCGTGGAAGCCCAGGGTCAGTGAAGAATCCAGGGGTCCAGGGTCTGGAAATGGAAGACCAAGTGTTGCAGGTGAACCTGGGGCTTCCCTGTCCCCTCAAGTCATCAGGAGCCCTGTGGGCAGGGGTTGGGCAGGGGATAGGTACCTGCGGTGGCCCCCCACCTGCCTTCCCTTCTGCTCAGCTCCTTCCCGTGGGGCAGGCTGGTCGGAAGCCTGGGGGAGGCTTGTACCTAGCAGCCTTCATAGGGTCATAGGCAGGAAGGGTCTCTCCTCGAACTCTAGGTTGCTATTTCATTCAGTGTTTTCTCACAGAAATAGCTGGTTTTTTCATAAAAGTACTTCCTAGAGGCGAGCCTTCCAGTGTAGATAACACCCAGATTCAAAGTCTGGGGTTTGAGGAGACTTTACAGAGAGATGAGGAAACGGGCCCAGTACCGTTGAGCGACCTGGCCAAGGGCGTCTGGAGAGACAGGGTTCTGCATCACACCTGACCCCGAGCAAGCTCCTCCCTGTACCTGTCAGAGGTGCGCGGAGGGAGCGCGTGGGGCTGGGTCTCCTGGCTCACTGTAGGGCCTGCGCCGAGACCCTCACCCCATCACTTGGCTGGGGCTCCGTCGCTGGCTTGCCCCTTCCGCTGCTCTGCAGGCACAGCCGTTTTACTGAGAGCACTGAGCTGGCCAGAGGTCGCCAGGCCTTAGCTTAGATCCTTCCTGAAGAAGCTGACCAAGCAGCGTTCCAGCCCATCAGGGGTGCCCACGGTGCTCCACAAGTCACTTCTTTCTGTCTGTAACCTGGTGGTGCTGAAGAGGGGGCAGAGCTGGGCTGGGGTGCAGAGGACTGGGGGAAAGCAGGTCAGCCCCACCAATCAGGGGTGGTAACCGGGCTTTCTTGTGAGGTTTGTCTGGAGTGGAGGCCAGTTCCAAGGGGCTTTACAGTGAAGGATTAGGTGGTTTTTTAAAAAAATAAGATCTAAGATCCTATGACTCTGACCTCAGAATTGGGAGGGTAGAGGTCAGGATGGATGTGCTGAGTCCCCTGCGTCACTGGAAGCATCCTGCCCCTGGCTGCTCTGGCCCTCTTGGGCCCCTCTCCCGGATGCTGTCCACGGCCTTGGCATCTTGCTGTCTGCTGAGCTTTCTCCAGGCCCTGCCCACTGACACAGTAGGGCAGCGTTAGGTGGTCTGGGATGCCATTTGCCCTGAAGAGTGGTCCTTCTCCTAGAAGGTGGGAAGGCCACTCACTGTCCTAGGACAGCTTGAGACCCAGCCCGTGGCTTATCCTGTCCATGAGTTTGGGGAGCAGCCAGGAGATGCGCCACCTCTGATGTCGTGAGCACTGGCATCCATATTCTCAAGCCTGAGTCACTTCTGTCCCATCTAAAGCCGGGCCTTAGTGGATGGGGAGGATGCTGAAGGAGTCCCCTGGGGGCAGAGAAAGGTTCCGACAGCCTGTGAACGCTCATCCCGTGTCCCTGCTTTGGTTGCAGCCGGGTCCCATAGGAAGTCACTTCCCAGAGGCCTGCCTGAGCCACCCCCTGCCGCTACCGTCCGTCCGGCTTTGCCGCAGGCGCCCCCCCAGCCGTGCCCCTGCGGAAGCTCTGTGCAGCCCGAGCTCCGCAGCCTTGGCGCCGCCCTCTCGGAGAAGCTGGATCGGCTGGCCGCGGCCCTGGCAGGCCTGTCTCAGGAAGTAGCCACCATGAGGACCCAGGTGGATCGGCTAGGGAGGCGCCCTCGGGGCCCTGGGCCGAAGTGCCAGGCTTCCTGGCCGTGGGCCCCCTCCCGGGGACCTCGCTGGGCCAATGGCCCTGCTCACAGACACCTCCCCTACTGGAGACAGAAGGGGCCCACCAGGCCGAAACCAAAGATCCTGCGTAGTCAGGCGGAAGGCGGCAGGGCTGGTGACGCCTCAGGCCTCTCCTGCCGAAGGTTCCGCCCCGTATCTCAGCTGCCTCCAGATGCCCCCACGGCAGAACCTTCTGGGCCCAACTCCAGCCCTTCCCAGCAGCCGCCCTCCTCAGCACGCAGCTGCCGCGCCGTGGTGCCTGTGCATGCCTCCCTTGGACACACTGGGGGTCACCGGAGTCCCCCGACCCCTTCAGTGCCTACTGCCTTACCCCCACAGATGGCTTCTGCAGCCAGGGTAGATGCAGAGCCGCAGTTTGCAGCCATGGTGCCGCCTGGGGCCGGCAGCCAGCCCAAGGATCCAAACAGCCTGATGGCTGGGGGCCAGAGAGCCCCTGAGGAGCAGCTGTGGGGTGGGGAACATAGGGCGCCGAGGTGGGGGGCCCCTAACCACCTTCTTCATCGGCTCGGTCCTGCTGAAGCTGTCCCGAGCCTGGCCACTTCTCCTAGGGGCTGTCCCGCGCCCTCACCCTGCTCCAGCCGAACCTTCCCCACTTCTGGGCTGTGAAGGGGCTGGGAGTTTTGCCATTGGCCTGAGCACCCCTGACTCCAGGACGCTGTTTGCTCAGGGAGGCCGCTGTTGGGGGTGCATTTCTCAGCCACGCCTCTGGTCTTCTTGGCTCAGGTTCATTCAGATGCTGCTTCCCCGTCTTGTCCTTCCCACTGGAACTGTCGTAGCTTGCAGGTGACTGGTGGGCCTGCACGCGTGCGCACACCACGTTTGCCTGGGCACTCCAGCCGCTGCAGAGGGACCACGAGCACCCCGCTTCCTAGCATCTGCCCTTCCTGATCTCAGCACTGAGGAGGGCTTGGCCCTTGCTTTCCTGGTAAATCGAGGGCATGGGTTTCACTTGGAGAGAACCCTGCCCCTCGGCTGAAGCTGGATTTGCCCGTGTGGAGTCTGACAGGAGAACTGGGGGACTGAGGGAAAGGCCCTCGGCTCCTAGGAAGGGGCCCCGCAGGGCCGGACCAGGGCCACTGTTGGTTCTCTTAGCAGGACGAGTACCTAGTCGGCTCAGCTGCCTGCCTCTCTGCACCCTCGAGAGAACTCCGCAGTGTCCCGGAAGGCTGGGAAGATCAGCTGCGGAACAGAATTCCCAGATGGGTCCTCAGAAGAGCCCCGCACATTATACTGTGAGCACAGACCACAGACCACAGACCGGGAAGCGTGAACAACGCACACTCACTCTCACAGCCTGGAGGCCAGAGTCCGGGCTCAGGGTGGTAGCCGGTCCGGCTCCTACTGACACAGTGAGGGAGAGTCTGCCCCAGGGCTCCCTCCTGGCTTCTCACTGGCCGTCTTCATGGCCACGTAGCTTTCTCCCCCAACGCGTGCGTCCAGATTTCCCCTTTGTGTAGGGACAGCGTCGGACTGAGCCCGCCCCAGTGCCCTCACTGTGACTTGATCACCTCTTTAAAACCCTGTCTCCAAGTAAGGTCATGTTCTTAGGTACTGGGAGTTAGGACTTCAACATGGATTTCAAAACATAACACGTGTAAGGGACTGGGTTGGTCTTCTTGAGTTCGTCTTGGGAGGAGAGGCCTGACTTGGGAGGAGAGGCCCCCAGAAGGGCCTGCTCTGGGCCCCACCCCACTCGGTCGTATATTGGGAGTCCTGCCTGTGGCTTACCTGCCTCATGTCCTTCCCCAGGCTCAGAGCTTTTCCCCCAGCCTTATGTTCTCACTTTTCGTCCTTACTGGATGTGAAGAATCTTCGGGAACTGTGTGCACGTTGCCCGGGAGGGGCCACCGGGCCGGGCTGGTGTGGTCAGCTCAGCAGTCAGGGAACCCAGGTGCCAGGGCTGAGGCCCAGGCCAACTCGGGGCCCAAAAGGGGCTGTAGGCCTGCGGCTGTCATGTCTGCTCTGGGTCCCGGGACACAGGCAGGGCCTGGCCTGCGCTCCTGGCTGCCCCTCTGGAGGGAAGGGGGAGGGGCTGGGCTGCCCGCCGGTCACAGTGGGGTCGTTGCCCTCTGTTCAGGACTAAGTCCCAAGAGGACTGTCTCGGAAGCTAATGTCTAGAAGATCATGTCATTGAATGTTTAAAAGAAGCAGTGTCTTCACGTGTAGCCATACTTGATAAGGGCAAAAGGAACAAAAAACTTCTAGACTTTCCCCTCAAAGACCTCAGGAAGATGAGTAAATTCCTTTTCGGGCTTCAGCGAGCGAGGGCTGGGCACGTTTCGGAGCCCATGGAGAGGGGAGGACAGGGCTGGGGGGAGGGGCGGAGGGTGCTGTCAGGAGGAGGAGGGTTCTGGGTGCCCCTGCTCAGCCCCCCCTCAGTCCTGCCCACTGGCCTCCTGTCCCTTCTGCCCCTAGTCAGCAGCGGTCATGGAGGTGGTCAACACCCACTTTGAATGGCATTTTAAGGTTTTGTTTGGTGGACTTCATGAATATCAGGCATCACACAGACCCTTAGCAGCAGGAGTGAAGGAGCAAATGAGCTCAGAGGGCAGAGGTGACCTTGAATTTGCAGAGCTTGTCCTTGGCGGAGCCTGCAGGAGCACTGCACCCCTGTCGGTGCTTGGCAGCCGGGCACGTGCCCTCACCCGCTGGGTGACCCTCCTTCCAGCCTTCCCCTGCGCTGCAGACAAGGATGCTCGGGGCGAGCCCAGTCTCGGTGGTCCAGACCCAATCCGACCATATAGGAAGCTCAAGTCTTTTTTTTTTTTTTTTTTTTTTTTTGGAGAATGTGGAAAACAAATAATAAAATGAATGGTAAGAAGCTTCCTGATCTGCGTGTTCGCCTCACAGGTCCACTGCCCCATGAGCACAAAAAGCTTTTATGGTTGTTAACTGGAAAATCTAGAATCACTAATTTGGTGGAAAATCTGTATGCAGTTTAGTCGGTGTGCATCTCCTTCACCTATTTCACAAGGAAATGTGGTCTTTGGTGAGATGAACAGAGGGGCCTGTTTGAACTCAGGAATTCCAGGGGCCTGGGGGGGCAGCAGGGGGAGAGCAGAGAAGGCTGAAGCTCTGCCTGCCCCCACTGTGCGGAATCTTCAGCGAATGGCTGCGGACTGACCAGGGTACAAACCTCCCCCACCCTGAGCTCATTTCAGGGGCCCTTGAAGTCTGCCCTCTGCCTTCCAGCCTGTAAAGCAGGAAAGTGAGAAGGGGCTTAACCTGTCAGTCTGAGCGGGCTCCCCACAGCCTCCAGGCCGGTGGAGGGGTCCAGTGGGAGCGGGGCTGCCAGGGGGGTGGGAGGGTGCGCAGACCACAGTTTGCTGCCTGATGCATGCCCTGATGTAACCACTCCCTCCGGAGGAGCTTGACACACTGGCAGACTGACTTGACTCCACTTTTTTGTGTCTTTCTGTTTCAGATGTGGCTTCTGGAAAGAGCCTACAGTGGGACTTTATTTTTTAATCCAGCTGGACAAGTTCTGTTCTTTATTTAGAGCCCTTAATCCATTTATGTGTAATTATAGATTTAGATTTGAGTATACAGTCTTATTTTATGCTTACGTTTGTCTCACTTATTCTGGGTTTTTTCCCTTCGTTGCCTTCTTTTATTTTTTTTTAAGGTTTTACTTGTTTATTTGAGAGAGACAGAGTGAGCAAGGGAGGAGCAGAGGGACAAGCAGACTCCCCGCTGAGCACAGAGCCCGACCTGGGGCTCTATCCCATGACCCCCAGATCATGACCAGAGCCAAAATCGAATCATGCTTAACTGACTGAGCCACCCAGGCACCCCTCCTGCTTTCTTTTTAATTGACAGTGTTGTGGATTTTGTCTGTTTGGTCATTTCGTCTTCCCTCTGCTAGCGTCAACATTTATTTATTTTTTTTAAGATTTTATTTATTTATATGACAGAGAGAGACAGCAAGAGAGGGAACACAAGCAGGGGGAGTGGGAGAGGGAGAAGCAGGCTTCCCGCAGAGCAGGGAGCCCGTTGCGGGGCTCCATCCCAGGACCCTGGGATCATGACCTGAGCCGAAGCCTGATGCTTGACCACTGAGCCACCCAGGCGTCCCTAGCCACAACATTTAAAGAACTAGGAGGAAAAACATCCAAATTTGCAATCATGTTTGGAAGTTTTTAGCACATCTTTTTCAGAAATTGATAGAACAAAGCAGGAAAGATACAGATTTGAACAAGCCAACTAATATATGGAACACTGAACCATAGGACTACAGGAGGCCATCCTGTTGTGTTTCCAGCTCCGGCGGCCGCCTTGCTGGGGGGCGGTGTGGGGCAGGTCCTCCAGTGACACCCCCCCCCCCAGAAGGCATGGAACCAAGTCCTAGGCAGTGGGCTGGCATCCAGAGCCTTCCATGAGTGGCCACGTCAGCGGGACTTCTGTCGGAGCTGGGCTGGGCTTCTCACCGTTCCCTGCGCAAGCTGAGGCCGTTCAGGTTCCTTGCTGCTCCCCACCATCGGTACCCTTCGTCCATGGTCACGTTTTGTTTGACTAAGTCCACTTTATTAGCAAAGTCCAAAGTGGGTGCCTCCACCGAGATTCCTGCACTGGGAAGAAATAGTCACAACAGTAACGGCTCGGCTCGTACTCTGTAAGCACTCCCCTCTGTCCAGGAATGGTGCTCAGGGCTTGCAAGGTATTTCATCCTCAGAGCAATCGTAAAAGGTAAAGTTTGTTGTCCCCGTTTTACGGGTTCAAGCACTGAGCTTCAGGGGTGCTGAGTTCAGTAGCTTGTCCTAAATCACAAATCTCAGAGATAGTGGGGCCTGACTCAGCCTGTTATTGGGGGCTGCTCTCTGCTGCCCCCTTCTGTTAGTGCAGCCTCAGCGTTTCCACATGACCCTGTCGTTTCACATTGTAATTCTATCGCTGAACAATATTCCAGGCAACTGAGGCCGGTCAGTTATTTAGACATCTTTCTACTGTTTGCCTTGCAGTGAACAGCTTTGTGCTCATGGCTTTTTTTCCTGTTTTCAAGTCTCCGGAAATAGGATCACTGAATATGTGCATTTTAGGGATCTGGACAGGGAAAGTCTATTGTTTCTAAACACATAATTTCTTTGACATTCACAGTAGCTAGCTGTATCAGTTTTACAAATATATATCATGGAGTGGAATTGATATTTTTCGCTTTAATTTCAAACCTGCAGAAAATGTGAAAGAATGGTGCAATTAACATCCATATACACTTCATCCAGAATTCACCAGATGTTAATATTTAGCCACAGTTGCATTGTCTGGGTCTCTCTCTGTGTCTCTCTGTCTCTCTGTCTCTCTTTCCCTTTCTCTTTCCATATATATGTAGATTTTTTTTTCTTTTTTTGCTGAACCATTTGTAGGTATATTTCAGACATCAGGGTATTTAACTACAAAATATTTCATCATATATCTTAAGCGGAAAAATCTCCTGTATAATCATACTATTACTAACACCCCACAAAAAATTGAACATTGATATAATAACATCACTGCCCAGGGGCACCTGGGTGGCTCAGTTGGTTAAGCATCTGACTCTCGATTTCAGCTCAGGTCCTGATCGTGAGATTGAGCCCCACGTCAGGCTCCATGCTCAGTGTAGGGTCTGCTTGAGATTTTCTCTCTCCTTCTCCCTTTGCCCCTCCCCCCATGTGCACTCTTTCTCTAAAATAAATAAACCTTAAAGAAGATCGCTGCACAATGCAGTCTATATTCAGAAATTTTCAATTGTCCCCTGAATGATTTTACAATTTTTTTGTCCATGGTTCAACTAAGAATCATGCATTGCATATGATTGCCATGTGTCTCTTTCATCTCTTTTAATCTAGAACTTTCCCTTACTCTTTTTTCTTCTGTGACATTATTTCTTAATAGGTCAGAGAATTTGCCTTGCACAACGTCCCATTACCTGGATTTGCCTAATTGTTTCCTCATGGTTGGATTCAAGTTCAACATTTTGAGTGAGTCAACGACATCGGTGACATTGAGTCCTTTCCATTGTTTCCTGTCAGGAAGTGTATATTGTCAACCTGTTCCATGATGATAAACGTGATCGCTTGATTACAATGAAATCCACTAGATCTCTTCCCTGTGAGGATACCTTTTCCCCTTGTATAGTTGACCCTCGAACAACACGGGTTTGAACTGTGTGGTCCAGTTACATGCGGGTTGTTTTTGATAAATACGGTACAATAATATAAATATATTTTCTCTTCCTTATGATTTCCTTAACATTTTCCTCTCGACTTTATTGCAAGAATACAGTAAATAATAATATAACATACAGAATATATGTTAATTGCCTTTATGTTATCAGTGAGGCTTCTGGTCAGCAGTAGGCTATAAGTTAAGCTTTGGGGGAGTCAAGTTATAGGTGGACTTTTGACCTCGACCCCAACATTCTTCAGGGGTCACGTGTAATTAATTGGCTATCGGTGAGGTGATTCTTTGAGACTTTGTATACCTTTCAGATGTGTTAGGAGATGAATTTGTACCTTGAAGATACCTTATTATTAACATGTACCTCAAAGATCCATGTACAATGTTGAAATTTTGTCCTAAGATCTGTAAATATTTGGAGAGAGAGAGAACCCCCCCTCCCCTGGCCTGCCCACTCTGCCTCTTCTCTCCGTTCCTGCAGCTGAGCTTCCTGTTTGCCCTGCTCTTATCCTTCATGGCGCATCTACCCAATGCACAAGCCTCAGCGACGTCATAGGTAGTCCGGGCTGTCCAGGTGTGGGCAAGACATGAGGGAGGAGAGGCATCTGCCAAGGAGGATGATTTCCAGCTTGCAAAGCAAAGCACTCCTCTGCCTACTGGCTGAGGGAACAGGGCAGAGGAGCCCGTCACGACGCGGGACACTGAGTCTCCTCCCTGGCCCTGGGGAAAGGGATGGAGAGCCAAGCAGAGGGGCCAGTGAGGAGTCCTGAGCCTTCAACCAAGGCCCGGCCCCCGGGAAGGGGGAGAAGGGTACAGCCCAGGGAGAGAGGCTCTCCCCCACCAGGTGCACCCCTCAAGGTGGGCCCTGAGGTGGCCTTAAAGCAGAGGTGGCCGAGGACCACTGCTGGACATAGTGGTGGCTTCGCTCCCCGCCCTTAGGCTACTGACCCAGACGCCGCGCCACACCGCATAGGACGCGCACTGTCTTTCCTGACCCCACCTGGCACGGTCAGGCAGCCTTGCTCAGCCGCGTTGGGGTGGGCTGGGCGTGTGGGCTGGCCTCTGTGGCCCAAGCCAGCCTCCAGCAGGAGGGGAGCCTCAAATAACACCTTTGAGCACTTTTTATTCAAGACGGGGAATCTAGTGTTTATTCACGGGAGTAGTCTGCGAGGGAGGACACCTTTGGGAAGGTGAGGAACCAGGTTTGAAGAGAGAAGTTGGGGGCGCCTGGGGGGGCTCGGTTGAGCATCTGACTCTTGGTGGCGTCTCAGGTCGTGATCTCAGGGTCGTGAGATGGGGCCCCACAAGGGGCTCAGTGCTCAGCTGGGAGTCTGCTGGATGTTCTCTCTCTCCCTCTGCCCTCCCCACCCAAATAAATAAATAATAAAAAATAAAGGGAGAAGTTGTCTCACATTCTGCTGGGGAAAGCCTAAAAAGGCCTGCTGTGGACTGAACCATGTTCGCCCCCTTCACATGTTGAAGGAAACGCTAGCCCCCAGTGGGACTATATCTGGAATAAGTAATTAGGGTGACAGAAAGTCATGAGGGCGGGGCCCTGGGCCAATGGGATTCGTGCCCTTATAGAAAAGAGGCACCAGAGAGCTTGCTCCCTCCGTGAGAACACGGGGAGCCTGCGAGCCAGGTAGCGAGGCCTCACAGGAACCCA